AAATAAATAAACACAGGGGCCGGCTACTTGAACAATATTAGCTGATTACTTGTTAGTAATACTAAAGTGAAATAAAAACCAAACACCTATATTAGCAAAACCCGTGGCCAAATAAAAACCAAATATCTGTACATTCATGCATCTCTATTAAATTAAATATAAGTTAAAAAAATTAGGGAGCTTTAGTTTTAAAAAACAATATAGTTTACTAATTTGGAAGATAGGAATACAATTTCATCTAATTAGCATAAGGCCAAAGACCAAAATGTAGTACCTAATTTTACAAAAATATCATTAAAAAATATCAAAATTACACACAATGCCACTTCTTCTAAGTCAAGCATACTATGCCACATGTCCATATCCAGCCAACCATCACCACTGGCCAATAACCTGTCGTTGGCCACCACCGCTGGACTCCAGCTGTCGGCCACCAGCCACCATCACCGCCGAACTCCGGCCGCCGGAATCCGGCAAACCGCTATTGTTGGACTCCATCCGTCGGCCGCCACCGTCTGCAGGGGACCAACTTCGTTGCCCTTTATTCACCTTTAAAAAAAAAAAGGAGATTTTGTGTCATTGAAAGGACTTGAACCTTAACTCTCAAAGGAGGAAGGCTCACTCACAAACCACTACACCAAACTTGATTTTGTAATATTGATTCAGTTATACAATATTTATATAAACAATCAACGGTCTTTTTTAAAATTAAAAAAAAAAAATCATTTCAACACATATTCACACAAAAATTGCAAATAAAAACATAAACTGCAACAAAAATACAATGTAGATATCAATTATGTTTATAAAAAAACAAAAACAGCTAAAAAAACAAAATTTAATTTTATTGAAGCAAAATGGAGGAACCAAGATGAAAGTACTAAAATGGAAACTGCAATGTAGAAGCGGAAACTGCAATGCATAAACGAAATTGCAGTTTCCAAAAGTCCAATTTTGAGTTCCCTTGCTCTTGGGTAGTTCTACTCTTCTCTTGCCCAACCAATCCCTCATCTGGGTAGCCTCTACTCTTCAAATTGGTTAGGTTGAAGGCCAAGGAAAGAGCAAAAATCCAATTGTAATTAAATGAAAACTGCAATACAGTTTTCAAAAGTCCAATTTTGAGTTCCCTTGCTCTTGGGTAGTTTTACTCTTCTTTTGCCCACCCAATTCCTCATCTGGATAGCCTCTACTCTTCAAATTGGTGAGGTTGAAGGCCAAGGAAAGAGAAAAAAATCCAATTGTAATTAAATGAAAACTACAATGCAGTTTCTTAAAATGCAATTTTGAGTTCCCTTGCTCTTGGGTAGTTCTACTTTTCTCTTGCCCACCCAATTCCTCATCTGGGTGGCCTATACTCTTCAAATTGGTGAGGTCGAAGGCCAAGGAAAGAGCAAAAATCTAATTGTAATTAAATGAAAACTGCAATGCAGTTTCCAAAAGTCCAATTTTGAGTTCCCTTGCTCTTGCTCTTGGGTAGTTCTACTGTTCTCTTACCCACCCAATTCCTCATCTGGGTAGCCTCTACTCTTCAAATTGGTGAGGTTGAAGGCCAAGGAAATTATAAAATGCAATGCAACGCAAAACCAAAATCAATAAAATCAAAAAATCAAATTATAAAATGCAATGCAACACCTAGTAAGCAACATCCCAAAACAATTAAAAACCAAAAACTACATTACTGCAACTAGTAAGATTTTCAGCAATTTGAATCACATAAAGACCTTGTAAAATAGGAAAATTGACATGATACTTGATCACATTGTCAAAGAGCATAAAGCCAGCATAGAGGAAGCCGAGACTACAGGCAAGGACACATCAAATGATCTATTAGGTGTCCTTTTGAATCTGCAGGAGCATGGTGACCTTGAAGTTTTTTTAACAATGAAGAATATCAAAGCAGTTCTCCTGGTTAGTATGTTTATGTATATGCATTTCTCATCAAGTTTTTCATACTTACACTAACAAAGTTTACTTAGGCATCCATAATTAACTAGAAGGTTAATCTTATTGAAACAGAAATCTCTCTTCTGACTTCTCTATGTATTCTTCACTCAATCTACTTTATACACATATTCCCCTAAGTTGCTGTTGAAAGAATGCACATGATATTGGTTTAGAAATAACCTAACAACCAGGAACTGGTTGAAACTGAAATTTTGTTTGCAACATTTCAAGACATGATATTTGGTCATCCTACTGAAATTCATGTACTCTATTTCAGGACATTTTCGCAGTTGGGAGTGAAACATCATCATTGACAGTGGAATAGGCAATGTCAGAAATGCTGAAAACATAATGTATCACACAATGTATAAATATAAAATTGATAACAGTACCATTTCTCACACCAAAAAAACTAGCACACCCAAACACCAAACAATTACTCTACACACTCGTAACAACCTGCCAGCACATGCACATTGCTAATGATCATACCGTTCATTCCATCATATACAAACCTAGCACCTTTTTTTTTGTAATTTTACGAGAATTCTAAAATAATATCTGATAAGTGTATATATACTTACTATGTAAAAAACAGTCATTCAATGAGAAAGCTGGGGCGTGAAGGGCACCAACCTGGGCCAATCAATTATAATTCATATACAGAACTAAAATGGCATCTTTGACATATTTCCTCTCAGTGCTAAATTGCGTCAAGGAGAAAAAATGGAAAGCATGAATCTATTAAGGCCCTATCCTGATGCCCTTAGGCAAATTTTAGAAAGAGACATGAGCATCAGGCAGACAACAATGCAATATCTACTATCATCAAAATAATGCCACCAGGTTTTCAGCTAAAGAGAAGCTATCATTCTAATACATTCATAAACGAACTCAAAACACAACAAAGTAGCCACACAGTTCAGATCTCAAAACAACACCACTGAAATTGAACAAAAAAATATCAAGAAAAGTCCATTTCTACGTAATTCAATTGCATAACATCAAAACCAGACCACACCAAATTAAAAAAAAAGCACAATAATTAGCATAGGTTTTGAATTACCACAGGAAACGAAGATCTATTAGGCTGAGTCATCGAAATTGCAGGAAGAGCCTTTGAGCTTTGCGAATCCGCAGACGTTGATCCTCTGATTGCTTCTCGAGGGACCGGAAAATGCCTTCTCCGCCAGCAATCGTGACGCAGGACGAGCCATGGTCGTCATCGATTGCTTCTCTGCCAGAAAACGACAGAAGACGCCTTCTCCGTTGTCGATCCTCCTACTGATGTCTCAATTTTTGGCACACTGGAAAATATGAATTCCCGCACTATTAAATGTCTCAACGTCATTTCACAATTTCCATAGTGCGGGAATTCATATTTGCCAATGTGCCAAAAATTGAGACATCAATTCTACTAATGAAGTTGATCATGTTGATTTGGATGGTGGTACACAAGATTTAGAAGATATTTATGTTATTGATGATATTTCACCAACCTCAGCAAATGGTCAAAAGAGAAGAAATCATGCATTAAATTCTTCTGATATTCTTCCTACAAAGAAAGAGGTGTTGTCAAAGATGTTATTGATGATTCAATTGCTAGAATGGCTTTATCATTTGACTAGTTTATCTGTGCTAATACTAAGAACCGTGATCCAACAGAGGTATATGCTGAAGTACAAGCAGTACTAGGTCTTAGTGAAAATGAACAACTCAAAGCATGTACTTGGCTAATAGAAAATGACAAACAATTTCAGATGCTTAAGGCACTCCCAATTGAGAAAAAAAGAGTATATTGCTGATGTTTATTGGACGTGGGGAGTGATTTGGTTTGCTAATATGCTCTGTTTGTTTAAGTTGAGTTATTTAGTTCATCAAATGATATGTTATTTTATACTTCAAGGAATACCTTCTATGTTGGTTATCAGTTTTTTTTTTCTTTTGAAATATTTAATTTCTGTCATTTACAATTTAAATAAGCTATCCAAACATTGAAATTTTCAATTTCTGTCATTTACAAACACTGAAATCTTAAATTGCCAGAAATTGAAATGACATAAATGTAAATTCCGTCATTTTAAAATTCTATGTAATTTGCAATTCCTTCATCCAAACAGAGCATAAAGGTACAATGAAACTGAAAGTTAATGAGTACCATTAACAAAAGTATAAGTTTTGATTCGACTTCACACATGAGATGCACTAAACTTAAAATTTCCTCTCCATTCAATTTGTGCTGCTCCTAGTTAATCTATAATATTTTCCCACAACTAATTTTCAATGGGAGAAGACTGCAACATACATATTTATTTATTTTATTTTATTACATACTTATTTTTTCTTGTATTAGGTAGACACGGGAATAGTGATGGAACAACCAAGGGAGCTTATAGTACAATCAATTGCAATTACATCATGCTACGACAACTTTAGCATAATCTTGTATCTCTATCAAATTAGATACCCAGAAGAAAAAAACACACACACACACATCAACACTTGGTAGATTAAAGAGTCAACAAGACTTTAACTCACTTTGTTAATCTACTCAAACATTCAAGTCCATATCTCATTTTCATCACTCACTTTATGGATCTCTAGTGCTATTATTACGTATTAGTAATACTGAAGTTAAACTAAAACCAAATACATGTATTTCCACCGTAGTTCAGAATCACATTGAGTGAATGACTCATTGCATTTAGAAAAGTGTTGGAGAGAATTTGGTTAGAGAGACTAGGGATTCGAATTTTGTTGTGGTTGCTTTTAGTGAGATGCTAGATTGCATGCGTACCCTTAACAGGATCAAACGACATAGTTCCAAAATGATTGATATGGATTTGATTTGACTTGTGGGAATTTGGTCCAGATAAGCAGTGTTTCAAATTTGGTTGTAATTGCGTCAAGTGGGATGCTAGATTGCCTATGTATCTTTAATGGAATCAAACCAACATAGTTAAGAAAAGATTGATTTAATTTGAGTGGTTTTGTACCACTTGGGCTTCAATTAATAATTTGGGAATTAATGGGTATTTTGGATTTGAGCCCATTAATCCATAATTTGCGCACTTGAGATTTTGCACCAATTGTTTGCCAATTGGATTCTTAATGAACAAGTCTATTGGACTTGAGACTTGTAATGGAATGGGCCCATTGTACAATTTTATGGTAGCTTCTAATTGGGCCTATGATGGTCACAGCTTTAGATGAGCACTTCTCGCTTTTTCTTTAAGCCGCCTCAGTTGATAAGCCCAGTCTAATATTTCTCCATATGCAACTTGGCCAAGGAAAGGCTTTAGATGAGCACTTCTTGCTTTTTCTTTGGGGCACCTCAGTTGATAAGCTCAATCCAATATTTCTCCATATGCAACTTGGACAAGGAAAGGCTTTAGGTTGCATTCTCTGTTTGCAACAGGACTTTGTTGAATTCTTTGTCTGTGGGGTTATGAGTCCTCGAACACCAGGATTTGAGCCATCCTTGTACAACAGAGACCATAGTCCAACTTAAGACAAGTCTAAACTTAAGAGCAATACAGAGCCAATATAACACAAGAAAGAGGCAATACAGAGACTTGATATTCACACTATAATGCGAAATGCCCCACACGTATTATAACACTGCTAGAATTCAGATAAAAATTCGCAACATTACTTCTGCGTTTGATCCCCCCGACTCTATCGTATATGTCAGTATCCAGTTACAACTTAGAGTTCTGTTGATGCTCAAAATGGTTTAGCCAAGATTGAGTCCAACTTAGTTATGAGGTGTGGTGGATGGTGGGTGAAGGTGTAGACCTTCAGCATGTGTATGAGGACTCGGGCAAGCGATAAATATAAGAAAGACAAGATATACGTGGTTCACCCTTAAATGAATGGGCTACGTCCACGGAGAAGATGTTCTCATTATGATAATGTTTGTTTACATTTGTACAAGGATTAGACCCAAAGATAAATGGAAGAATGCCTAGGGTCTAAGGTACAAAGCTAGGAATCTGAAGCCCATGGGTTAAGTCTCCAGGTCCGGAGACCCAGGACCCGAAGGCCAGACTAGCAGGAGAGTCTTGAAGAGAGAGCCTTTTTCTAAGGGGAGAGTACTCTTCTTTTATAGGTGAGGGGGAGTCTCCATCTCTTGTAGTTTTCCGATGTGGGACTCCTGGTTGCTCGATTAGTCACGGTACCAACAAGTTCAAGTGCTAATTACACTTCCCTGTAAGGAAGGAATTTCTTTGATATGCAACTTATGCGTGCCTTATTTGGGGTTGAAACAGAATCCCTCATGAACTTGTCATGATATTTTACATCAATATCATCTCCCTATATAAGGTGGTACTACTGCCACCCCTTCAACTCTTCCCTCACTCTTACTTTGAAAGTTGAATTTCAAACTAATACTTCTATCAGATAAACTCTTCCCTCGCTCTCATAATTCTATTAGACCTTCACCAACTTTCTGACAATGAACAAACCAATTATCTTTGCGTCCTTATGCCTTCTTCTAATAACTCCCATGGTGGTTTTCGCCGACTACTCCAGTGAGGCTGAGGCCACTGAAGCTGGGCAGGGGCGCAAACCCCAGGCCCTAAAATTAAAAGTCGCAGTCATCACATCCGTACTATTTACCGATGCAATGGGTGTTGGCATTCCCATTCTTGGGAAAGCCATATCTTGTCTAAATCCAAGAAGCAGCCAGTTTTCAATAATCAAGGCTTTTGTAGCCGGTGTCATATTGGCCACCGGCTTCATTGATGTCCTTCCTGATGCCTTCGACAACTTGACGTCTCCATGCCTGAAGGAGAACCCGTGGGGAAAGTTTCCTTTCATTGGGCATGGAGATGTCAAGTTCTCGAAGGCATCAGGAAGGACATGAATGAAGCCGGTGGCCAATATGACACTGGCTACAAAAGCCTTGATTATTGAAAACAGGCTGCTGCCCGGATTTAGACAAGGTATGGCCTTCCCAAGAATGGGAATGCCAACACCCATTGCGCCGGCAAACAATACGGATGCAATTTATGCGACTTTTAATCTTAGGGCTTGGGGTTTGTGCCCCTGCCTAGTTTCAGTAGTCTCAACCTCATCGGAGCAGTCGGCAAAAACCACAATGGGAGTTATTAGAAGGCATAAGGATGCGAAGATAATTGGTTTGTTCATTGTCAAAAAGTTGGTGAACATCTAATAGAATTATGAGAGTGAGAGAAGAGTTTATCTAATAAAAGTATTAGTTTGAAATTCAACTTGCAAAGTATGAGATAATGAGAGTGAGGGAAGAGTTGAAGGGTGTTAACACCTTATATAAGGAGATGATATTCATGTAAAATATCATGACAAGTTCATGAGGGATTCTGTTTCAACCCCAAAATAAGGCACCCGAAAGTTGCATATCAAAGAAATTCCTTCCTTACAAGGAAGTCTAATTTTCATCTTTAATAAATAAATAAATAAATAAGAGTTTTTTTTCTCTATAATATGCATAAAATGATGTAGCTTAAATCTAAGAATCTTGTGTAAAAGAAATACCTTCGATTGGGAGTAGTTTCTTTGCAACTCCATACCGGAGAAATGTGTTTTTGCCTTCTTTTTTACCCTTCGCTGGGCTTGGTTGCTGCCATTGGGACTTTGATGGTGGATGCCTACGCCACTTCTTATTACAGCAGGTCTCACTCCAAGAACAATAACTCTCAGCCTACAGAGAGTAGTGGTGATGTGGAAGAGCACGTGCATGTCCTGGCAGCCGGGGTCATGTTGGCCACTGCCTTGCCTTAAGCAGAACCCAAAAACCAGCTTCATTAGAAGAGAGAGAGAGAGAGAGAGAGAGAGAGAAGAGTTGAAGGGGGTACCTGCTTATATAGGAGAGAAGAGATATTCACGTAAAAATATCATGACAAGTTCGTGAGGGAGTTTATGACTTAGTTTAGTACCCATCGCCTTTATGTTTCTTGGATTCCATGCACATCCTTTATCTCTCTTTGTTATTTTACGACTTGATATCTTCACACCCTTTTCCGTGTCAACTGGCCAACACAAATGACGTTGAGGGAGGCTAACCAATTGCCATTTTCTTGATCTTTTAAGCTAAACATAAAAGAAGAACACCCATCTAAATATTTAACTAGTTTTCAATGCATATTATCTATAACATATCTACTTATTAGGAAAATTACGACTAGATGCATCATATGAAGCCAATTTCCAAAGTAAAATTTGACTTTTGAGAATTACCATAGGATGCCTAATTTTGAGGGCTTGTTTGCTTATAATTGAGAATGAGAAGAAACATGATTGGCCCAAGCAAAGCTTGTGCTAGATATTGATTGCTCAAGCTTCGTACAAGAAGGAAAAGATTGACATGGGCCACGGACAACCCATCGTTTTGGGCTACCCATTGCAAAAGATTGGTTGAGTTTACTATAACGTCTTACTGTCTATCCCCAGGATAACCCAAACTTTTTCTTTTGGGTTACCAACATTACAGTCTTCTTCACTTCGCTGTCTGTGATGAATTTTTTTAAATGAATCACAGTGATTCTATTAAGCATGTTTACATATCAAGAATGGGAGAAGCAATGAATTGGGGAATTTAGATAAAGGAATCAAGGTATTGGAATCAGATCAACTACTTCCCTTAGTTAATTCCATTACCGATTTTGAGGACATTCTATTACAGATTTTAAAGTGGAACTCACATAATCTTTTATTCCTTATGTGTTAGTAAACACAGTGAAAGTCATGAATTGTAATGATTCTAATACTCATGTGTTATTAAACACAGGAAAAGCAGGAATTTGAATCATTCCAAAAAAGTAAACGTGTCATAAATTCATTATACTCCAATTTCCAGTTGAACATTTGAAAGCTGCTCAATTTGGGCAAAGTTGAAATCCATATTTGTCGCATAAAAAATTGAAATGTATGAGATATAAAATAAGGGCATCAAAAGTTTTTTCAGTTTCTTCTTTTATTTATGAAAAATGACACATAGAATGTGTATTTGTACGAATGGCTAAAAGAGATGAATTGACACATTGAATATTGAAATACAAGGACAATTATTTAAGCGACATAGCTAGGACAGAGAGTGGTAATGATTGAGTGGTTGGATGGGTCGGTGGTAATATATGCACACAGGGAGGGTGGAGGAACCCACCGCGGATTCCTCTTGTTTCTCACAGTTCTGGGTTTTATTTTTTATTTTCATGTAATTGTCACGTCATTTGATAAGAAAACGACATCAACATTAGCGTTTTGCATCTAATTGCATCAAAGGATTAAATTGTGACAAGGTTCATAGTCTAGCCATAAAGTAGTGAATGTTCCTTTTTTATATTCAAATTGGAATACAAATATATAAATTTATAAATAAACCCAATCCTAGACATGTATTTATAAAAAAAACTCAAACACTATTTAAACATAGAAACATACCCAAAATCAACTCCAAACTCAACAATTGTATATTTTTTGGGTGTGTTTATAAATGGGTTTTGAGTGTGTGTAATGATGGGTTTTGGGTGTGTTTATAAATGGGTTTTGAGTGTGTGTAATGATGGGTTTTGGGTGTGTTTATAAAGTGTTTTGGATGTTGAATTTTTTTATAATTTCAGCCCCATTTTGGGTGTTTTAGTGAAACTCCCATAGAAATATTACTATTTAAAAAATTTACGAAAACTATGTGCGGACTGCAGAGAGCGTAATAGGCGCGTGGTCTGTAGTCAAACTCAAACTGGAAGTGAAAGTGACAGCGAAGGAAACGTGGCAGGGGCACTTTAGATAGGACTCCGAGGTGGGCCATCCTTATCCACAATGTGACATATCATGATGTAGAGGGCCCACAATCAGACCTCCCCACTAATTACATTATGACAGGCATTTTGCCTCTGTCGGCAAGCTCTATTTCTGACAAGAATAAATAAAAGAGGAAAAAACTGGTGTGTAATTATGTGCTAAGATTTGGGCCATACGATAAAATTATGTACCAAATGAGTGACTGTGATGAGATATTTCCAACATTTTTTAATCATGAATTATAGACAAAAGATAAAGTGAAAAAATTACCCCGTTTCACAACTTCCTTTATATTAAAGAGGCACTATAAGGATAACCACTGGCAGATCCACAGAGGCGTAAGGAGGTGCGCACCTCCTCTCGCCGGAAACTTCCTTGGGGATGTCGGAATTTGCCCATTTGCTAGTGCCTACCAAATGTTCGACTAAATGCCTCAAAGTCGTTGTATTGTTTGCTGCTGTGTGAGACCCTGAATATTTACCTTATAATGTTGGGCTCGATCTCACGAGCATATAGGAGAAAACGGTTCATCAATTGGAGCTCCACAGCCAAAGTTATGAATTTTCGAAGTTTTTCTAGAATATTTGAAGTTAAGTTGCAGAAGCACGGTTCAAGGAAGAAGAAGACTCCGTGTCCGCGCTTCTAATTTTTATTTTTTTAAAATGGACCAATAGCAAGTCGACAAATGTCTTAGATCTGTAGACTAATAATCATATGTTCGAATTTTTATGTCATCGTGATAGTGTGCGTGTACTGGCGGACCCATGAATTTTTCAACGGAGATGCAAATAATCATATGTTCGAATTTTAATGTCATCGTGATAGTGTGCGTGTACTGACGGACCCATGAATTTTTCAACGGAGATGCAATTTTTAAATGCACAAAACTTGATTGATGAACAAATTTTTATAAAGACTTGGAATTCTCTAAACAAAAAAAAAAGACATGAACATGATGTTTTATAGACTTTTTTAATATTTAGCTAAGATGTTTTGTAAAGATTTGGATGGAGTTCTCTCTTAAAAAAAAAAAAAAAAGACTAGTGTGGTGGGGACCGAAAAAATCTCTCAAAAGATCATATTTTTTTTTAGGGAGCTGATTTTCCCACTTCCCTTTTCTCCACTTACACTCCCTTTTGCTTTTTAATACTTTTTAATTTTTTTTCTCTTTCTTTCCAATTCTAGCCTTAGCCTACATTAAGGTTTTGATAACTGAAATTAAGAAAAGTTAACCTCAAATAAAACAAAAAACAAAAATAAATTTTGGAAATGGATAGAAATGTAAGTATCTTCACCAAATTCTTTGTTTTTTCAGCTAAGTATGTGAGTACTATTTATCTTTGTTGTAGTTAATAGATAATAAACTTTTTGGGCTAACATGTTTATAGGTAGATGAACCAAAGAATGCTACTAACCAAACTATCATTAGGAGCTTAGATATGCAAAGAACAAAATTGATTAAAAAATATTGAAAAGCAAAAGGGAGTGTAAGTGGAGAAAATGGGAGTGGGAAAATCATCTCCCTTTTTTTTTTTTTACAGTAGCATGAGAGGTTTAATTTCCTAACTTTCCTCTCTTTGGTGTACAGTAAGGACAACTTCATCTTCTCCGATGGACCTGTCATCAATGGCGGACCTATTAAAGCGCAAGGAGGTGCAGTTGCACCTTCCATCATCATTTATTTTTATATTACTCAATTTACTTAAGTTTACAATGTAAATAAGGAAGTACCTCCATTTGGATTCAAATAAAAATACTAGAAAATCAAATTCCCACCAAATCAAAATATGAAATTAGTTTTAGTGCAAAATATGATTTAGGCTGAAAATGATGGCTCATTAAGTGAATATATACTAAAATCCCATAAAATCAAGTTTTCTTATTTGATGTGTAAGGAATAAAAGCCGCTAAAAATTATCTTGAGAAAATGATTATTCCGAAAAACCATTTTTCATACTTAGTCAATATTTTTACATAAAATAATTTTTCATGTATGACATGAATGCATGAAGGTACCCAAAGTCAATTTAGCTAAAAACCCTTAGATGTTCAATCAACATAAATTTTTTAGCCTTTCAAAATTACACCTCCGCTAAAAAATTCATGGGTCCGCCAATGCCTATCATTCTTCTGTGTTTATTTTTTAGGTGCAACTTTCTCTGCCCCATTTTCCAGGAAAATTAGAAAAAAGAAAAAAATGCCAAGCAAAACCCTCTCCTCCAAAACCCCACTCACACTTATCTTTTTCACTCTTCACTCTTCTTCATCAACCCACCGTATTTCTCTTTGGCCCCATGTCATTTTTTTTTCCTGGTAGCAGTTAGTTTATTCTCCCCCTGTGTATAATAAGGACACTATTATTTTTTCACCTGATCCAAAATGACGTTGTTTTGGTCAGGTGTTTTTATAAATTTTTTTTAAAAAAGAGAAGAGCAGAATGCTCACAGCGCACATCGCACAACAAAGGAAGAGTCAATTCGCTGAGTCCTTTTGTCAAACAGATGGAGTGCACCAGAAACTAAGCAGAGTTGCAACTTTCTTGCATCTTCAAGGATTTCCACCTCTTTGTGCCTCTATATTAATATTATCCAATAACTCAGTATTTTCCCAATACTTTGTGGTTAGATTGTAATAGTTGGGAATTATGGGATGGGATCCGAAATCCCAAATATGTCATATTCTCTGACACTTGTATATTTTATATATTAATATAGATTGCTCTAGTCTGAATGCACGTGGCCAAGAATGGGGGGCGGTGATGAAGTCATAGATGCAATTTAATACCACGTTATAAAATATCAACAGGAATAATTTATTATAAATTAATATTGGCCAAGCCGGCAATTTATTAGTAAAATTATTTGGAAACACTCACCAAATAATTAAAAAAGTTTAACTTTTAACTTTTCTCACTTATGGAGAATCAAATTTATAATTTGTAACTAAAGTGATTAAGAGTATTTATCATTGTAGAGTTCTTAGCAATATATTTATTCACAAACTGGTGTTTGGTT